TTGAATATACTCTCGGTTGTCTTCTCCCTTTCTTCTCCTTCTGGTTTGCCCATTATTCTTATGTTGCTCTTTCTGATGGAGTCAGAAAGTTCTTGTAGAGTTCTTTCATTTCTTTTAACTCTCAAGTCTGTCTCTTCTTCCATCTGTGTCATTTCCAGATTTTTATCTTCAATGTCTGATTATTTCCTCCATCTGGTCAGCTCTATTACCTAAGCTGGTTATTTCATTCTTCATTTCTTTTATTGAGTTCCTAATTTCCAGGTTTTCTATTTAGTTCTTTTTTCAAATTTCAATCTCTTTGGTAAAATGTTAATTTTGTTCTTTGATTGTGTTTCTGAGTTCATTAAACTGCCTGTCTGTGATTTCTTGCATTTTGTTGAGTTTTTTCAGAACTGCAATCTTGAATTTTCTGTCATTTAAGTCACATATTTCCATGTCTTTAAGCTCATTTTGTAGAGAGTTTCCATTTTCTTTCTGAGCTGCCTTGTTACCTTGGTTATTCATGGCAATTAATGAATTATTATTTCTCTTTCTAAGCTTCCACATGAGTGGGTTCTGCAACAGGTTGAAAGGAAGAGGTCTTTCATTTGCTTTCCAGTAGTTGTTGGTGGAATATTTTATTTTCTCTATGACTGCAGCCTTTTTATTCTGTCTCTCTCACTGCAGCATTATATTTTCTTTTGCACTGTTCTGGCATCTCACACTATGTGGGGATTCCCTGGAAGTTGGGCTTCTCCTCTGTGAGCAAGTCACCTGGGTCTCAGGGCACCGCCTCCATGGGGGGATGTGGAGAGCTTCTGAAGTCCTAAAGCTCTTCCTGCAATCAGATTCAGAGCCTGTGTTTTTCAGTGGCTCTGGTTACCCCTGCAGTGTTCTGCCCAGATAGGTGGGGGTGGGGCAGGGTGGGTTGTGTGAGGTGGCTCTGAGCATTGGAAAGTACCAGCCCACAATTTTCTTGCCCCTACATTTCCTTCCCTTTTGCCAGAATCAGTTGTGCTGTGAGTCTGTGGCTGCAGGGCTGCAATTTTCGGAGCTGTAAATATTCTGTTGTTTAATCTAACACTGCTAATGTTTCTTCTAGAGTCTGCTTCTAGCTCTGGGAGAGTGGGGGTGGGGTGAACCTTGGGAGGTTGCGGAGGGGTCCACCAGGCTCCTTGTCTAAGTCTTCCATCCACTGCTTAGCAATGAGGGCTTAAACCACCGTTCTCATCCTTCCTCCCTCAGTCTTTGCTTTGAGGTCTCTGCAGTGAGCGTTGGGTTCAGCTGTATTGTATGCTGATCCCTCAGGCAGGACTGTGGGCCATAAGGGGAGAGCTAGCAGTCCAAATTCTTCCCTCTCCCATGACTGCTGTAGCTCCAGAATGCAGGGAGCTCTGAGCTCCAGTCTGTGTCCCGCCACCTGCATCTCTGCTCTTCCCCTCACTCTCCTCCCCAGCTCGCCCAATTTGCCCACCTTTAGAGGGTTCCAATTGGGTCTGTCAGGCTTGCCTGTATGCCACACAGGGAGTCCTTTGTGGAATTACAGCTGATCAATTTGTCGTAAATTCCAGGGGAGATTTCAAGAGGCACTCCTCATGCTTCCATTTCTCTCACATAATATTTTTATAATTTATTTTAATCATAGTTAAAGGAAGCTAATATATTTGATTAAACAAATTAAAGTTTGTATAAATTTTACTATTCTAAATGTTGTTCATTCTCTATTTCCTGATAATATTAGAATCAGTTGATTGGTGTTAACTATATTTGGTCTGCTACTAACAAGGATCAAAACAGTATTAATAACCAGCATTTATTGAATGACTATCATAGGTTTGCCACTAGCCTATATTAATATACACATATACTATTTTCCAGTAGTATAGACAGAGTTGTCAGCATCCCCTAATCTCAGCCAGTCTGTTAGGCCACATGCTAATATATACCATTTATTGAGTGCCACTCTGCCCCAAGCACTGTACTAGATGCTTTACATTCAGTTATCTTGTTCAATTCTCATCACAATGCTGACAGCATAGGTATAGTGATACTTATATTAAAAATAAGGAAACAGAGTCTTGGAATGAGTAAATACTTTGGTAAATTCTCACAACCAGCAAGTGACAAAATTGAGATTTGAGACACCCAGTATGTCTGATTCCAAAGCCCCTGCCTGTTAAAACATACTCATTCGAGAATATTATTCATTACCTTTAGTTTTCCTTTTGAGAAAACTTGCCAGAAGCAAAACTCATCATCATTGTAGATGCAGATACCAAGGGGCTTTTTACTCTAGCATAAGAACAGAGTTACAAGCATAGAACTTTAAAATGATTCTCAACTCTAATGAACTGGTGTCTAGGAAGTGATTCTACAGTCAGATGAAAAAGATAAAATGCAAAGCTTCCTGGAGGCCAAAATAAATTTAAAAAAACATATTATTTTTCATCACTTATTAGTTATGTGATCCTGATGTAGCTATTCTCCTCCTGGGTTCCCTAGATTGTCCCAATGTCTCTTTGATGCTCTGTGGAGATAGCAGTTTTCAAACCTTTTCTTCTCATTTGCATTGCTGGAGCTAAGCTCTGTGCAGCAGTGTGGGCCCAGGGATAGCTCTTAGATAAGTCAATAAAATGTAGGGATTTTTATTTATTTTGATAGAAAACTTTATTAAATGTTTTTTTCTACAAGAGCTACATTCCCACAAGGCTGATTCTGTAAAGTTGTCAATAGGAGCTGGTGTGAAATGAAAATCAACTATATTTTCCTTTGAAAGCTTCCTCCATGGCCTGTTATTAACCATCCATAGCAGGGGAAATCAAAATGTAGATTTAAAATCTGCCACTACTGCTTGGTACAAGAAAACTAGATAAGTAGAAAATAGAGAAATAATTGTTTCATCTTGGAATAATAATAAAAAAAGACTGTGCCTTTTCATAATGACCTCTTAAATAAATTTTTGATTTTCTAAAAATAACTAATGTTTTAAAAAGTTAAAAGTTGTTAGCTCTTTGTCCAATATTATATTCCTGCCAGCCCAGTTATATTTCAGCAAATGCTGTGTGTCTATTTCTTATCCAGCTCAGTTTTCTAACATAAGGATAAGAGAACAGACCATCATACACCTACAAAAGACTATTTGATGTATTCATATAGGGTTGAGAAGAATAATGTCCTTTGATTGATAATAGGGTGGCTATCCACACAGCTGGTGGATTCATTCTCAGCTTGCTAAGAATCCCCAAATTGTACTAAATACCATTTTTTCCTCTTGCTTTTATTCTGCCCAGGGCAGAACTCCTAGTCTAGATCAGAAGTTCCCTAATGATGGAAGTTTATTTGAAGCATTGGTTCTCAATGCTTTAATGCAGTGGGTGCCTACAAGATTACCTGCAGTATTTGTTAGAATGTAGACTACTGGGCTGCATTCCTCAGAGACAGATTCAGTAGATCTGGAGTAAAGCCCAGTCATCTGCATTGTAAATGCCTCAGGTGGTCCTACTGACACAGGTGGTTAAAAGGCCACAATGGTAGAAATGCCATTTCTCAACCCTCATTATAAATTCTCATAGCTCAGGGACAGATGCTAAGACCACTTCCTAGAATATCTCGTTCTAATTGGAAATAGCTTATGCAAGTGAAATTGGATGAAATAGATAATTTGGATTAAAAAGGAGAATCCGGTATATATGAGAAATATGAGTTTAATGGCTCAGAACATAAAACTCAGAATTCAAGAATGCTAAGCATGGAAAAGTTACAGAAAAGAGTAAGAAGAGGATGATTTTTGAAAATGACAAGAGTAAAGCATACATATCATCATAGTTCATGGACTTGGAATTTAAAGTTATTATACTAAAATACAATTTTAATCTAGAAACAATTTTGTTTTCTTTTTTAGCTGAGTCATTCTGCCACCTGTTGGCAGCTCAGCAGCAGCTCAGCTCGGGCCGGGAATCAAACTGGCAACCCTGTTGCTCAGAGCTTGCACTCTTGAGCGAGCTCTTAATGAACTGAGCCACTCGGCCGGCCCTAGAAACAATTTTTAAATTAATTTTTATTAAGGTAACATTGATTAATAACATAAACTTCAGGTGTACAGCATTATAATTTTTAATGTCATTGTCAGAAACTCGCTTTTGTATAACTTTATAATTTTTATTTTTAAAATTAATTAATTTTTATTGTTTTAGGTGTACAAAACAATGTACACCTCTCACAAAGTGATAACTCCCTTCCCCCAATCTTTTCAGTCACAATACTTATCAGAAGACCTATCAAAGTTCTGTTACAGTGTACATCTTTATGTCACAAGAACTACCTGTGGGCACCTTGAAAACCTTCTTAAGTCTCCTAAACCCTATTCTTCTCTCAGAATAGATTGAAGGAAAATTAATGGCAAAGAACTGATAAGCATTGACAATCAAGGAAGCATTTCTCAACAAAATACTTAGGCTAGAATGCTTTTAGTGGTGGTGAATTTAATATGAACACTTACTTTAAAAGCCTTCCATTGTCACTTATTAATAAAAATGAAATACCGATTATCATATTTAAGCTGTCAAGATAGTAGATTACACATTTTAAGGCTTTAGAGAAGAAACTTTTATTTGGTACTACCTGAATTTGAAAAATGAACAGTACACTTGGTCTTCTGGTTGCATTTTTAAGCCCATTTTGCTTTTGAGAAGTGTCCTATAATCCTAGTACATTTTTAGCTTTATCATGAATGTCTCATAAGAATAAAATTCATCTAGACCCTTTATGCACTTTAGAGACAAGGTTGACTTTTAGATCCATTCTTGAAGAGCCAATTCAGCAAATCCAGGGTTCTTTTAATAATTTGGAACTACGTGGCATCTTACAGAAATCTTTGATATCTGATTTTAAATAGTAAGTGCTCCATAGACAGCAGAAAGCAAAACTGTTATTGGCCTCAAGTTTTCGCAATTTAAAAAAATCAAAGACTCTACAGCCTCTAGATTTGTTCATTTTTTTTCTCTTTTTCTCCCTATTAATAGAAATAATGGATGACTGTTCAACAAATTGCAATGGGAATGGAGAATGTATTTCTGGACATTGTCATTGTTTCCCAGGATTCCTTGGGCCTGACTGTGCTAGAGGTAATGTTGCTGTGTTATTCTGATTTATTTAGGGAAATTAATGTTTTTTGAGAATGCAGAAGGAGGAGGAGTGGTAGTAGTTTTCATAGTAGCAGCAGCAATAGCAACAACACTGCGTACCTCACTACCAAAAGTTAAGCACCTATTCTGCCAGGCACTGTTCTAAACACTGTTATGTCTTTTAATTCCTACCATAGTCCTATGAGATAAATCTGCTATTATTTCAGTTTTAGAAGAAAAAGAAACAGCCTCAGAGAGGTGAAATAACTTAAGCAGGGCTACCTAACAGCTGGGATTTGTACCTAGATCGTTTAGACCCAAACACTACATGATACTTCTATGTCCTTCATAAACTGATTCATAATGGATAGATAGACTTTAAGAGTGGGCAAAGTAGGTAACTGCTTATGCACACCCATGTAAGCTAGAAGGCGTGTGCAATCACCAACTGGGTAAGTAGCCTAGAAAGTAAAGGCCAGGAAGTCAGAAATTAAACTTAGCAAACTTTACTGTTTCCTAGACTTGCCCACAATTTAATTCTTGAAAAGCTTTAGGTAAATCACATGATGTTTTCCCATAGGCTTACAGTTACAACTCTAGCGATGCTTTCTACTCGTTTTCAATGTGTTCTTGAAGTTCTCAGTCTGCTAATATTTTGATCTCACGTTTCTCAGACACTCAGTTTCTTAAGGTTAAATTGTATTCAACAGAGAATTCTACAGCACTTGCTAGGTTCCAAGTACCATGATAGATCTTAGGGGTAGGGGCAGTAAGAGTGGAGGTGATGGCTGGTAATAAAAAAATGAATAAGATGGAAGATACAGACTCTGCCATTAAGAAGCCCAAAGTTTTAATAGGGAGACAAACGATGACAAAGCAGAGTAAGTGTTATAATAAAGGTCTACAAAATGTGTTATGGGAGTAGACATCTGTCCAGCATGAATCTCTTTGAATGCACAACCTTTTAAAGATAATATTCTGTAATATGAATAACTACCTATTTATTAGTTTTTCAAATTTTCAGTTTCTTCTTCCTAAAAGTAGCATATATCTGCTTGAGGGTGAAAAGCCATAGGAGAGAAAATGTCTAACTGATAATAATGATAATAATAATAACACCAATAATTACTTAAGTATATAGTGGAATCAAAATCAAATACTTGAACTAAGTTCTCCACTCAAGATAGTTTTATAATTTATCTTTACTGTCCTCCCACAGAAGGAAAATTCTGTTTGTAATCATGAACATGTGCCTATTTAATAAAGGCTGACAGGAATAGTACTTGTTTTGTCTGAAATATTATACAAGAATCAATAAAGAATTGCTCTTTGGAGATGTTAAAAGCATTATGAGAACATTACAAGTTAATTTGCCAATCTTCAGATTCGTGCCCTGTGCTGTGTGGTGGGAATGGAGAATATGAGAAAGGACATTGTGTCTGCCAAAATGGCTGGAAGGGGCCAGAGTGTGACGTTCCAGAAGAGCAATGTGTTGACCCAACTTGCTTTGGTCACGGCACCTGCATCATGGGAGTCTGCATCTGTGTGCCAGGATACAAAGGAGAAATATGCGAGGAAGGTCAGATTTCCATTTTAATCTACTGTTTCAGACATTTCTCTCACTGAATTATCCCAGGCTCTATTCTGTGCTTCCAGTAGAGACATAAATGGTCTTTGTAAACTATAAATGTTCAACATATCTGCTTAGTATGTGGAGCAGGGAGTTGGAGCCAGGGAAGCTCATGTCTCTCCTGACAATCTCTAATATGAACATGAGGCTTTATCTGTGACACTTGAAAAACAGTAATGAAAAATGGCATTCCCCCCCACACACACACACATTTTAACATTGTCTTACAACTTGAGAATTTCCATGTTGATTATTTTAGGTGTTAATTCATATGCTTTCTTTATTACAGAGTGCACTAGGCTGTATCTTACTTTAAAGCACATAATAATATACACATATATGGAACCATTTTGTGAACGTTTTCTTTGGGAGTGATTTGTAATTACTATTATTATTGCTTCATATTATTTATCTTTACATACCTCATGCTGAAACTTGACCTCCATGCCTAAGGAAGTAGACTTACCACAAATGAGTTTCAAGTCAGTGCCTTTATATTAAAATGCACCCCAAAGGAGCCTTTACACATGCACACGAAAGCATATTTTGAAATGGCAAGTCTTATCATTTAAAGAGACACATTGAAAAAGAAGTTTACTAGTAATCAGACCTTTTTCATGCCACAGTCCTCAAATAAGACTGATTTTAGAAATAATATTAAACCATTACCATGGGAGATGGTCTCATTAGAACAGTTGTTCAAGAACAAGGCTGCTCAAAATGCACTATAATTTCTTTTTATAGATGGCCCATTAAGACTATTACACAGCAGTCTAAAGGGATTAATCTCATTCCACTCCATAAGCAAGCAAGAGTTTAGCTTTTCACCTCCCATTAGCAGTAGTAGAATTGTGGCACGAAGATTGTATCTGCTCCAATGAATGGCATTGGGCCTAGACAAGGCATCCAAGTTCTTAAGTTACTTTTGGAAATTGTTTTTATGGTGATCCAACTGTAACCATTATATTCAAGTTGTAAATTCATATACTATTCACAAAAGAAATGGGGCTGTCACAACATCTACAATTTCCCATGAAAAACATTTAACCTAGTTTATTTAGACCCTTCTAATTTAAGTTACACAAGCAGTTAAAAAAAGACTTAGCTCAAATTTGCCTTGTAGGGGTCATTAAAAATATTTTAGAATAACCAGGATAGCTTAGAATACCATATTTAATGATCAAAACTTTTCAAAAACAATAGAAAAAATGTTTTAAAGCAGACATATGGTGATGGAATGAGAACTGACTCTGGGTGGGGAACACACAATGTGATATATAGATGTTATTATAGAATTGTATACTTGAAACCTGTGCAATTTTACTAACCATTGTCACCCCAATAAATTTAATTAAAAACAAAAAAGCAGACATCTCAGACCAGAAGCCCACAGGTTGAACTGGGCTTTATTGGGTTCACATAATGGTGATGGCAGTGATGATATTTTTGTCGTTTAATGTGACTTATTTTCCACAATTTAAAAATAGAAAGGTGTCATTTAAAAATCTCCATTTCTAGCCTCTCATGAACAACTAGAAAATCTTGTAACTCTGGACTCACATTCCTACCTGGTGGCCATCAACCTGAGCCAAGTAGCAGCAGCTTCCTTTAAACTGGACACTTGCTCTCAGTTCACTCCCAACACACTCTGTTCACTTCCATCCAGCCCAGTTAACTCCCAACACACTCTGTTCACTTCCATCCAGCCCATCTTATTAATGTATGTCACCTGCTCTGCCCTTTCAGCTATATGACTGTATGCCTCTGATTCAAGGTTGACTTCCCTAGTCATTAAAGGTGACCTTTGAGTAAAGTAAATTATATTAAGTTCAATACTATTTATTAAAATTGTTATTGTACTTTAATATAACCAAATGTCCTTCTTCTAAAACAACATTTTATGCTTTAGACTTTCCTTCTTCTAAATAATGAATGAACAAAATTATAAGTACCTTCTGATATTTAATTGCAGATTAGCTCAGGTGTTAAAGCATTGTGCTAATGACCCTGAGATCACAGGCTAATTATAATGGCAATCACACTAAATATAATAATGCTTATTTAAACTTACTTTGTTCCATGATCTTACCACACCCTACAATTAGGCCAGTATTGCAAATGATGACAGAGTGTATCAGTCTTTTTCCATTGCTGGGAAAGTCATTCAAAGCATACATCTGCATCCTGGTAAATTATTTTAGTCACATCTTCTTTGTATGGAAAGACTAGAAATTTGGAAATCAACTTTCCAATTTTCCATGGAATGGTCACTCAGTTAAAAGCATAAAATAATTATCTCCAAAGCAAGCATAGGAATCTACTTCCAACATAGTTTATACATATGTCCAAAAATATATGTGTGTCCAAAAGTTATACATGTGTTAAAAATTTTCCAGACTCATAGAGTCAGAAAATTGAGTCTGTGATATTCTAAAACATTAGAAACTGTCAGTGTCCTGATAGCAGGAGAGGCCACAAAGAAAATAATTTTTAAATTGGGTTTAAACTGTTGCACCTTCAGTGCTCCTAAGGAATAAATGAGAGATTATAATAAATGTATTATATAGTACGCTTTCATGCAACAGCAGTCACTTCACTCAATACCTTGAATAATCCAAACTTAAAATTATAAGAAGTCCACATGGAGTAGAGAGCGGGAACGGATTCAATGGAATTGTAATAGATAAGCATGATATCGGGGGTGGGAGGGCAACAGATGGGGGAGGGGGGTTGTTACTTTGTGAGGGTGTAAAATGGTAACTATTGCATTGTTCTGTACACCTGAAACTAACAATTAAAAAAATTTAAAGACTAAACAAACAAACAAAAAATATATGAAGTCCTCTAGAAACATCAAGGAAAAGGCATTTCTGGGAACTATGACTCCAGTTTCAGAAAAGGCAAGGAATGACTTATGAAAACTTCTTGAGCTCTTTTGCAAAGTCGAGGAATTCCTATTGAAGGGCCACATTGGTACATTCACCCATTTGTGTGGGAGTACTACACACTGCTAACAATTTCACACAACATATGTATAATTTTCTTCTTTTTCTAAATTTAGTATGTAACTGTTATTATACCCTACCATATCTTTAAATGTTAATAATCTTCTGGTTTGAACACAGCATTGACCTGAGTCATATTATTGCCTAATTAAAAGCAGAAATGGCATAATATTAGGAAATCAATGAATCTTGGTTTCATTATCCTCAGGTATACTGGCCACACGTGTTCACTTTTAACATTTCCCCCCCTTTTTGAACCTTCAGAGGACTGCTTAGACCCAATGTGTTCCAGCCATGGCATCTGTGTGAAAGGAGAATGTCACTGTTCTACTGGTTGGGGAGGAATCAACTGTGAAACTCCACTTCCTATATGTCAAGAGCAGTGCTCAGGACATGGGACTTTTCTTCTAGACACTGGAATGTGCAGCTGTGACCCCAAGTGGACAGGATCTGACTGCTCAACAGGTACATTAGAATTATTTCCATCTTCTCCTTCCTCCACTTCCAGGTTCTCACTGGATTTTGCCATAAGGTAGTACCCCTTAAAGTCTAATCTGTGTGCTTTTCATGGGTTGTAAGGGGCTTCCAAGTATTTCCTAGGCTCGTATTTTACAGGATTTTTAATACAACATACTGCTGAGTTTTTAATCGTACTTTTCATTGTTGTACATCTGTGCTAGATCCTCTTCATTCTATATTCTCTTATAGTTATTTCATCCATTCCCAAGTCTCTCACTATCAGTTCTATACAGATTATTTCAAATTTATACTTACTCAAATTCAAATAATCCTTCATTTTAAACCATTTTGTGAGCATTTCCACTGGGTGTCCCATCACTTGTAAACATGACTTAGCCCAGGAACTCTCTCTACTCTATTTATATATTGCTATATTGTAGCCCAACCACTGTTCCCACAACTTTGCTTTCATTTTCCTATTCCTTATTCTAACATTATCCACAGTTCTTCATTGTGTATAGATAAACTTGAAATATACAAGCCTGTTATTACAAACCCAACACAAACTATTTTATTTTTTTAAACTTTTAAAAAAGATTTTGTTGGGGAATTTTGGGAGGGAACAGTGTTAGGGAATTGGGGAAGGGGAACAGGCAAGTTGCTGTCCTCTTGTTCTTCAGTCTAGTTGTGGAGGACATCGCTTCACTGGCCCATGTTGGTATTGTGACCATTGCGCTCTTCCCGGGTGAGGCAGATTGGTCACCAGCCATTGAAAGGCCGCTCACGGCGGCTCACGGCAGCTCACGCTGGCTGCCGGACACTCACGGTACCTTATGGTAGCCCACTACAGCCCCACTGCAGCCCCTGCCATTGCTGGCAACTCACAGCATCCCAGCTCCAGGTCGAGCTGTTGTTCACCATCTTAGCTGTACAGGGTGCAGCGTCACTGGCCCATGTGGGATCTGAACTGGCGGCCCTGCTGCTCTGAGCTTGTGTTCCCAAGCCAACTCTTAACCAACAAGCCACTCGTCTGGCCCATCAATGCAAACTATTTTAAATCTATATCTTCATCCTGTCTTCTACTTCTGCTCTCTGCATTAATTGCTCCTTCTGCTATAGTAATCTGTGTGCTCTTCTTACCCCCAATAAATCACATGTCCACACTTTTCTCTATGCCCTTTCCTCAGCAAGAAATACTATTAACTTTTCACCTGTGAAAATCCAACCCATCCACCAAGACCAACTAAAGTTTTAGACATGCTATAAAACCTTTCCTGATCACATCAACAGGATCTTCTAAAATTCTATCGTGCTCATTGCTTGAGAGTAAAAAAGGAATTGTGACATAGGTACTTCTATACAAAGTAGGAAAATTAAGTTCATAAACTCATCCTAGAAAAAGTGCTACACAACTCATTGCTGAATATCCCTATGGTCACCTTCAAAGTACTCCCCTTAGGAAGCTATGCACCACCAACAGTGCCTAGTCCACCCTTCAAAGCAATTTTGGAACTCTTTTTATGGAATGGCCATCAGAGATGTCATATTACTCTTGATGTCCTGAATGTCATCAAAATGTCTTCCTTTTAATATTTCCTTTATCTTCAGGAAAAGAGAGAAGTTACAGTGGGCTGGGTCAGGTGAGTAAAGAGGGGTTCCAATACAGTTTTGTTTACTGGCTAAAAACTCCCTCACACAGTGTCACGTGAGCTGGTGCATTGTCGTGATGCAGGAGCCGTGAATTGTTGGTGAAAAGTTCAGGTCACCTAACTTTTTCACACAGCCTTTTCAGCACTTCCAAATAGTAAACTTGGTCGACTATTTGTCCAGTTGGTACAAATTCATAATGAATAATCAATCCTTTTGATATCAAAAAAAGGTTAGCAACACTGTTGCAACAAGTTCACGAACTTAGTTGTCGGACTTCATACATGACTTGTTTTTCCACCTACACTAAAAATAAGGGATCATTCTTTTTCATTTTGAATTTTATTTATGTAAAATCACATGCGATAAGCAGGAGGAATACGTGTTCTTTGAGACTTTTTGTACCACTGAATTAGCTCATGAACTGAAAACACCACAATCCTGTGCTATAAAGAAATAGAAAAACCCTTCTGCTAAGAGAATGAATTCTAACCTAATAACTTCATTGTACAAAATTTTGTCATATCATGTAGAAATAATATGGGAGAGAGGATTGTAATTTACAATTTCAGAAAATGACTAAAATGCTAAAGACAATGTGATAATAACTAAAATGCAGATCTTAAAAATCCTTCATTTATGTACTTAGCAAATATGTATGCCTACTACATGCTTGGCACAGGAGATATAGTGGTAAACAAGATACATGTGGTTCTTGCACAAAAGGAGCTTATTGTCTAGTGGAAGAGACACATTGAACAAGTTAGAAGAAGGTTACAAAAGGGAAATGACTGGGCATTATGGGATCATATAGTATGACTCCAAGTTGATTATTAACTTATTAAATATTATTGAACACCTTCCATCCTTTCATGAGTCAGATATAGTATCATGGCCTAGATATTCAAGTTTAAAATAATAATATTAATATTAAAGTTACTATTAGAGCACATGTTTGCATAACAATTATGTATTAAGCATAGTATTGTACATATATGATGAGGTGTGATCAAAAAGTACAGTGAATGTTTACATTAAAAAATATTACTAAAAGACACATTGCCATTAATGCCCCTCAAAATACTCCCTTTCACTTTAAACACACTTATCCCATCGTTTTTGCCACTTTCTGAAGCAGTTCTGGAAGTCCTCTTTCGTGATTGTCTTTAGTGGCACTGTCGTGGCTACTTCGATGTCCTGAATCATTTTGATTTTGGAGAAGAGTCAGAACTCGCACAGTGCCAGATTCCGTGAATAAGGTGGATGAGGACACACCATAATGGTTTTATTTGACAGAAATTGCCTTATACCAGAAGTGATATGTGACACAGATTGTTGTCATGATGAAGGATGATTTATGGCACACTTTCTCTCAATTGTAGCTAACACTGACTGACTGCACCGAATAAGTTCAAACTTGTCACACGCTGTTACTAAGGTTCAACGCACCACTCTCTATATTGAAGATCCCTGCCTTTCCATTGGATGGTACTCGGCTGCAGCATTCACCGTATTTTGTGATCCAACAAAAAGGCTCTGTGTCACACATTGCTCTGGTACAGCAATTTCTGTACTTCTTTACTGCTTCAAAAAGTGACAAGAACGATGGAATAAGTATTTGAAGTGTGAGGGGAAGTATTTTGAGGGGCATTAATGGCAACATGTCTTTTACTGTAATATTTGTTTTTATTTAAACATTCACTGTATTGTTAGATCACCTCATATTCACTTAATCTTCATAATAACTCTAATAGATATGTATTATGATTACACTCACTTTGCAAATGAGGACATTGAAGCACAGGGAGGTTAAATAACTTGTCCAAAGTTACCCATACAACAAGTATCAAAGAATTTGGACTAAGTTATTCAGGCTTCACATTCTATACATTTAACCACTGCACTATACTGTTCCCCAGGAGCCCATCAACTAATTCACCATGTGTATAAAAAGTATTGTTGGACTATATCCAGAGCCACATACTGCAGAGCACAAAGAGGGAACAGTATGTTATTTCTGTGGGAAGAGGCAATACAGTCAGGCTAGACTTTATAGCAGTCTTAATACTTGAATGAACACTGGAAAGATAATTACAGCAGGTTCTTGAATAATGCCATTTTGTTCAATGTCATCTTGCTATAATGTTGATGAGATGCAGTAGGAATTTAAGTCTTGTTTATATTAATTAGCCTATGGTAAAATTGGTTTATATATACATCATTTCACTTAAAGTAGCAGAACCTATCAATGAAGGTAAGTAAGGACTTACCATACATTTTTGTCAGGTGGACAAAAGAGGAAAGAAGAAAGAACATTCCAGGCAGAAAAAGTGACTTAAAGAAATTGAGATGCAAATCCAAAATAAAATATTTGGAGTCTGACAGTCAATGGGCATAGGTGCAGCCTAAGTGTCCAGAAGAATATAAAATTGGAGAGATGGCCAGCCACAGGGAGTTCTATTTACACACCATGCTAAGAAATTTGCATTTTCTCTTGACACAGTAAGAAGCCACTGAGTGGTTTATAACAAACTGCATTTTACCTTCTCAAAAAACCAGCTCTTGGTTTCGTTGATCTTTTTATTGTATTTCTGGTCTCTATTTCATTTATTTCCATTCTGGTCTTTATTATCTCCTTCTTTGTGCTCCCTTTGGGCTTATTTTGCTGTTCTTTTTCCAGCTCCCTGAGGTGTAAGGATAAACTGTTGATTTGAAAGTGTTTTTTGCTTCTTTAGGTAGGCCTACACTGCTATGAACTTCCCTCTTAGGACTGCTTGTGCTGCATCCCAGAGATTTTGGTTTGTGCTGTTTTCATTTCCATTTGTCTCAAGGTATCTTGATTTACATTTTGATCTCATTTTTCACCCACTTGCTATTTAGTAACATGTTATTCATCCTCCATGTATCTCTGTGTTTTCCGGATTTCTTCTTGTAATTGATTTCTAGTTTCATAGCATTGTGGTCAAAAAGATTCTTGATATGATTTCAATCTTCTTAAATTGATTGAGACTTGTTTTGTGGCCTAATATGTGGTCTATCTTAGAAAATGTTCCATGTGCATTTGAGAGGAATGTATATTCTGTAGCTTTGGGGTGAAATGCTCTGAAAATATTGATTAAATCCATCTGGTCTAAAGTGTCATTTAAGGCCACTGTTTCCGTGTTGATTTTCTGTCTGGAGGATCTGTCCATTGGTGACACCGGGGTATTGAAGTCCCCTACTATAATAGTGTTACTGTTGATCTCTGTCTTTATGTCTGTCAAAATCTGTTTTATATATTTAGGGGCTCCTATGTTAGGTGTATAGATGTTTACAAAGTTTATGTCCTCTTGTTGGATCAACTTCTTCATTATTATGAAGTGCCCTTCTTTGTCTTTTACTGTGTTCTTCAACTTAAAGTCCATTTTATCTGATATAAGTATCGCTACTC